CAGCTGCCTCCTGCACACCCCCCACTGGGGATGTACCCGAAACCAAGGTACATGCCCTTGACCGGAATCGAACCTGGGACCCTTGAGTCCGCAGGCCGACGCTCCATCCACTGAGCCAAACCGGTTAGGGCAAAAAAATATATATTTTAAAAACCCACAAATTACCACTTCACACCCATAGGATGGCTACTATGAAAAAAAATTAATGTGTTGATAAGGATATAGAGAAATTGGAATTGTGCATTGTTGGTGAGAATGTAAAATGGTACAGCTGCTCAAAATATTAAAAATAGAAGTATCATATGATCCAGCAATTTTGCTTCTGGATATACACCCAAAAGAATTGAAATCTACGTCTCAAAGGGATATTGTACCCCTATGTTCTCAGCAGCATTATGCACAATAGCTAAGGGGTAGAAGCAACCCAAGTATCCATTGACAGATGAATGGATAAACAAAATGTAATATATCCATACAAGAAAAAATTACACAGCCTTAAAAAGGAAGGACATTTTGACACATGCTACAACATAGATGAGCCTTGAGGACATTATGCTACGTGAAATAAGCCAGTCACAAAAAGACAAATGTTGCAGGATTCTTCTTATATGAGGTACCCAGTCAAAATCTCTATGAACAGAAAGTAGAATGGCAGTTTCCAGGGGCTGGGGGAGTATGGAATTGGAAGTTATTGTTTAATGGGCACAGAGTTTCAGTTTTACAAGATGAAAAGTTATAGAGATGGGGGGTGGCACTAGTTGCCCAACATTAAATGTACTTAATAGCACTTAACTGTACACTTAAAATGCTCAAAATGGTAAGTGTTATATGTATTTTACCATAATAAAAAGAATTGGGGAAAAAACAACTTTATAATCTTTCGGTTCTGGGGTCAGAAGTCCAGAATGGGCTAAAATCAAGGTGTCAGCAGACCTGTTCCTTCTGGAGCTCTAGGGCAGGGGTGGGAGCATCCAGCCCTTGGGTCGTATAAGGCCCACAAAATTATTTGGTCTGGCCCTGCAAAGGCATTAGGGGTGAGTTAATTAAATGTTTGACCAAATATAGCAGGCTAATTTTTAAGTTGATAATTTTGTATGGCCAACAAATGATGTTCTAAATATCCAAATGGCCCTTGGCAGAAAAAAGGTTCCCCACCCCTGCTAGAGGAAAATCAGATTCCTTGCCTTTTTCAGCTTCTCAAGCTTGCCTCATTCTTTGGCTAGTGGCCCCTGCCTCCATCTTCAAAACACATAGCTCCAATCTCTGCTCCTATCATATCACCTTCTCTCCCTCTGACCCTCCTGTCTCCTTAAATGGACACTCAGGGCCCACTCAAATAATCCAGGATAATCTTCCCATTTCAAGATTTTTAATTTAATCACATTTGCAAAGTCCCTTTTTGCTACACAGAGGTTCTGGGGATTAGGGCATGGACATCTTTGGGGGTAGGGGGATGGGTTGTCATTATTTTGTCTCCCATAGGGCGTGTAGTGACAGAAGATGAGCTGAAGAAGGTTAGAAAGGAATTGTACATTTGGGGTGTCCTATTAATTCTAAATTGTAACAAGAGTACCTTCTAAGTTACTTTTTTTAAAAAAGCATTCTTTTTAAAAAATATATTGTATTGATTCCAGAGAGGGAGAGGGAAAGAAATATCAATGACAGAGAATCATTGATCGGCTGCCTCCTGCACGCCCCACACTGAGGATCGAGCTCACAACGCAGGCATGTGCCCTGACCAGGAATCTAACTAACCATGACCTCCTGGTTCATAGGTCGACACTCAACCACTGAGCCACGCCAACCGGGCTCTAATTTACTTTTTAATAAACTACCCAGACTGCTGGGTGAGGAATAGGTTGCAGGTAGAGATTACAGCGTTTGCTGACAGATTTGAGCTAGAAATGTCCTCACTGGTGTGCGTGTTCCCTGAGAAGTCACCTGAACCCCAGCCTCAAAGTCTGGCATGTGGAGAACCAGGCACTTTCCACATAGGAGGAGGATGCCCAGCAGAACTGTAAACAGAGGTGTCTCTGGGTAGCTCATTTGGGGCTGGAAGTCTCTTTGTGGACCAAGGGCAAAGCAGATAGGATAAAAATGATCTCACAGTCCCATGGTGCCCCATCCCCATGCCCTCCTGCTGAAGGAGGCTCTGTTTTTTCATTCCAGTTCTCCACCCCATGAGTTTAAGGAAGGTCTTTGGGTTTCCTGGAGGCATAATTGGAAAAAAAAATGAGTAGAGGAAGGCAGAATCAGAGAGACAGACAGAATTAGAGACAGGAGACCTCTGGGTGCTCCCTGCATTCGACTTCACAGCCTTTGCTGTAGGATATGTGCAGTCATCACAACTCATTCTGCCTGACCAAATGAGATTACCCTCGACCCTCTGGTAAGTGTATCAACCCTCCATATGCCTTGGTGTTTGTTTACAGAGTCTTAGAACTGAAGATCCAAAAAGATTTTAAAAGGCATCCAGTTCCACCTTCAACCCGATGCTCTTCAACATTCTCATCAAGTCACCAGATGGCCTTTGCTTGCACATACCCGGGAGCCCAGTATTGATCAAAGCAGCTCATTCCATGGATGGACAACCCAAACTGTCAGAAAGTTCTTTCTTAAGCGTGTTTCCATTGTGCCATTTCCACCATTCTGCCTCAGTGCTCCACTCCAGAGAAACCCAGAATAAATCTACTCCCTCTTCTCTAGGAAAGCCCTTCAGACAGATACAGTGGCTCATTCTGGAAGGGAAGTCTCTTTGTTGCCTCTTCCTTTCCCCCTCCCAATCCTGGTCACTGTTTGTTGGACAAGCTCTAGTTTTTCCACATCTTTTTTCAGAATGTGTATCTAGAAGTAGACCCAGAACTCCTGGAATGGCCTGACTGGCACAGAGGAGATGGGACCACCACCCCCTTCCTCTTTCCACGACTCAGACTTCAGTTCCAGCAGCCTCAGTTCCCGTCCCCTATGTTTAGCAGCTCCACCACAATCCTGATTCCTGATTTATATCTCGCACCCTGTTGAGTAAAACCTTAATTTTCATGCCCACTGCTGTGTCATGAGCAGCATTAGTTTCCATGTACACAGTATTCATTTAAATATGTCCCACTGCTTTATATTTATGTCTGGGAAATTATGCTTCTATTTTAGTACTAAACACAAAAGAAGAATCTCTGGTTCTCTTCCTGATGTTCAGGGAAACGCAGACACGGCTAAAGCTACAGAGAGGGGGCAGAGTAGGGCCTGAGAATGGATCTGAATATCCAGCACAGACTGCGAAGCATTTATTTTTCAGTTGTCTGTGTGGCCTCAAGGCAAATTTACAGACAGGGAGTCAGGGCATGAGAGGGAAATATTATAGGGAAAAGGGCAGAACACTGGAGCCTAGCAAGCCCGGTTCAAATCCCAGTCCTACCATTTCCCACTTGGGACCTTGGGCAAGTTGCCTCAACTTCTAGAGCATCTGTCCTCAGGGAAACAATATTCCAGCGTTCTACCTTCAACAGCTGTTCTCTGGCAAAAGCGCATGTCTAACTTCAAGTGCCGACGTCCTGATTACTAAGGCGGGACATTACATTCCTACTACTTCAGGGCCTTCAGAGAATCCCTCTTTAGTTTCACGTTCCTGCCTCTCCAACCCAGCCACGGAAGGCTGCCCCGGCTGTACATCTGGCCAAATCCAGGCTATAGCATAGGTGTCCCGGTGCCCAACCTGTTCCTTGGCAGTGGGAGGACCTGAGTTCTAATTCCGTCTTTGCCATTTAACTGAATTAGCCAGGGACCTCCCCAGGCCTCAGTTTCCTCGTCCCTATAACCGGGATAAACACACATAGGGTGTGTGTGTGAGAGAGAGAGAGAGAGAGAGAGAGGTGAGTGTTCTGTAAACCACAGGGACCATAGTCATTAGGTACCTAGCGCGGAGAGGAAATTCAAATCACAGCCCGGAGCCGGCGGGGCCACCAGCCCGCGGAGGTAGAGGGTGCAGGCAGGACTCCCGGCTGTCTATGCGCGAGGGAGGCTGGTCCCCGCAAGCGGATTGGGCAGCTCGAGCGAGCGGGGGCCTGGGGGAGGCG